GAAGAAATTAAAGAAAAACCTTGGAACCGTTTTTGAGAAAACCTTATTTTTAAAATTTCTTGTATTTCATGCATAATTACATCAAAATTTGTCATAATTGTAGGTGATCTTATTTAAAGATCTATGTTTGAAGAACAGATTTCATTAAGAAAGTAGTGGTGTTACAAAATGGCACAGATTTTTTCATACTAGTTAGTTTACAAATTTCTTTGGTCTGAACTAGCTTTTTGGTCTTGCCAGCTGTCTTGTCTGCTGCCATCTATCGCCAACCACTACCTTTTTTTGAAATTTTCTCAACTTTTTGGTACTTTAATAATATAATAGAAGTATTACTTTAAGAATCTTATAGAAGAGGAAACCCTCATCCTTTAAGAAAATTTTAGTTGAAGAATTTGTACCCATATTCAAGAAAATGCTGGTACGGTAATGGGAAGTAATATTACCACATATTTGTTGCTTTTAAAGTTCCCACTTTGTTGCATCAATCTTCACAATAATTATTTTGACAATTTAATCCATCACAAATGTAATTATACTTCTGTTTCTTCAAAATATTGAAGTCACAGCTTTCATAGTTTGGAAGACTTTATTATTTTTTTCAAAGCAAGCAAAGTAACAATGTTATCCCACTGAGGTCAAGCATTACCACCTCTATTTATTTCCAAGTCTCTAGCAATGTTTCAATGTTTGAGAGGAAACAGAAACACACAAATATGCATCAGAACAAATTCTTATTTTATGTCTTTTGTTTTTGACTGTTTAAATACACTAAACAAGGATAAATACTGCATTGAGAACTTAATCTTGAATAAGTTTTATTTACTGTTTTATATTGTGACAAAATGGGATAGGAAAAAGGTGCCTCTTTTTATATTTGGTCTGCAAAGCTCAGCAACAATATCATATTATGGCATAACACACTCATCCATGTAATTTAAAGTGGACCTGCAAATTTCATAGAGTTCAGTAGCTTTTTTCCTATTTAATTTTCTACTATTTATATTTTCCATTGTGTGGTGCATTTTAACTTATCATAGGTTCTTAAACCTTAGATATTGTTTTTTTTTCTAAATGTCATTCTCTCTAAAAACAAGACAAAGTAAATTAATGGTGTGCTTTTCAAAGTTGCAGTGCAAGTACGGCAACAAGAAAGTAATTAGGTATCACATCAAATTGTAATCAAGGTTTACAATTTCTAAGTCGTATGCTTTAGAAATGATACATAAACTCACAAATATTAATTGTTTCAATGTAAGAACTTCTTCTCAAAAGATATAAATGTAGTGGTAAGATGGCCAGTATGACAATGTTACTCTGAAAGTATGGTATTAATACATTTTGTCTTGTTTATAATTAATAATTATTAAGACACGACATAGCATGCCTGGAAAATGACATATTTACACATCTATGTCATTATTTCAATTTGATTAATCCTAATGTAACGAATTTTCAATTACGAGATTTGGTTGCGTCACAATATAATACACCAGACATTTTAGGTTACAAGTGTTACCCATTGCAACAAACGATTGTATATGTTTCGAAGAGAAGTAGCTAACTATGAAAACACAACCACCAAATAAATTTACGAAACAGACCGTGCTACTTAAATTTTTCGAAGTTGTGGCAATGTTTCACCCCTGGCAATGTTACTCGTCATTTCCTTTGAAAATGTACGAAATTGAAGCTCTTTTCAACGGAAAACTTTTGAGTTTTCAAAACACTTCATTGGAACACTTCTACTCATAAATCCAAAAATGTATACAAAACGAAAGGTGTATTTAAAGACGTGAAAGATATTTCAAAAAAATTACATTGGTGTGATTTTTTGAATAAAGATAAGTAACAAAGAATACAGCAAATTTACCGTCATCTTAAACAGTGTAATTAGTACTATCCGTACGAAAAGTTTGAAGAAAAAATTTGGAGCCGTTTTTGAGAAAATGGCAATTGAGCATTTCTGAAAATGTGGAATTTTGAGCTCATTTTCACATAGAACGTTTGAGTTTTCGAGAATCTTTAGAAGACATCACTTAGAGCACATGTAATAAATGCATTAACGTGAATAAATCGCCGCTATGTAAATATTAACGACGTGAGAGACCAGTCAAAAAATTACATTTTTGTACAAATTACATTTTTGTAATTTTTGCAAAAAAACAAAAAATAGAGCAGAATCGGGTTTATGTCGTCTTATAGAGTTCATTTAGCACTATCTCTACCTAAAGTTCAATGAAAAAATTGGAACACTTTTTGAAAAGATTTTGTTTTATTATTTTTTAATATTGCACATATTGCGCGAAAACAATAATAAAATTTTCCAAAAATGTACATACCTTTAATAAATGAACACATTGTGGAGCACAATTTTTTCTTGAAAGAAGGAAGACGCAGAATAAAATTTCAATTTTTAAAAATTCAGATTTACCAGTGAAAATTGAACTTATGCCACCTTTATAAGCGCATCGCACTCAATTAATACAAGAAATTTAAAGAAAAAATTTGGGGCAATTTTTGAGAATTTTTAAAACGTCCAAAAGACTTTATGTAAAGTATCCCCAAAAATTAAGGAATGTTTTTCAAAATCGCACAGCTTTAAATGAGGACAGATCGGGCCAGGGGTTTATTCAGTTTGGAAAAAAGCCTACGTATAGTTTAGGCGCTAGTGTTGCGATGGACGGACGGATGGACGGACGGAAGACGGACGGACAGACGGTCAGTCAGACGGCGGGACGGATCGTCGGTTTAGGCCCCAGCGTTGACCGCACACTGAAAGACAGACGGACACGTAGTGTTTTGCCATAAACCAATTGTTATTACCGTAAAGCAAGGACTCACAAAATGTGAATTATGATTACACAACTTGTTAGAGGAAGTCGTTTATTACATATAGGAACAATATTTATCAATTTTTCGATATTAGAGCCCCACAATACGTGCTACTTTACTGCGTAAAAATCGCAACTTTGCGCTGCAGCATTGCAATACCGTCCTCACGGGCTACTTGGATCCTTAGGGTACCACATGGACCCACCCGAAAAAAATGTTTACAGCGGCTGTAGTCGCTTATACATTGAATTGACCAGTTAGTTTACAGTTGCTTCCGTGCATGACAACATTGGTTGAAATTGGCCGAATTTGAGCCCTGCAAATTTTTCTCTCTACGCTGGATTTCAAGATAGTTGATCAAGGGATCAGCTTTCATTTTGGTAATGATATATGTGTCAATAGAAAGCCTATGATAACTTCGCCATTAGTAAAACGCCTTCCCCATTTTTTCAGATTTTCTAATTCTGAGCACACTATCTCCAAAAACCGGATCACTTGGACCCACGCTCACAGTGGCGTCAAGTAACCGAAAACTTTCTTTTTTATCTTTTTCATATGTTAATAGTTTTATTTCGATATTTAAAACTTCAACATTACGTAGTTATTTTCTCGTGCTTTTACAGTAATCTGACTCAATCATAGTACACAAATACAAAAGATTTCATGAAGTCGGAAATATGCGGACCAGCGAAATATAAGGTCCATCAGCTTAAGGAATGTTTGGCAATTGTCGGGAATGTCACAAAGACAAGCTGAAGCTTCCTTTTATCGTCGATTGACTGTAAAAAGAGCACTGAAGAGGAAATCCATTCGGAAACCGGGACATCCAAAAATGTTTACTGAAGACGAAAAGTTCGTCTTTGTAAGGCTTCGTGAACAAATAAGTAATTTTAGATTTCCTATTGATGAACTCTGCCAGATTGATTATGAAGTCTTACTTATCTAGGTGGAAGAACAACTACTCTTTTCGAAGATAATCTCCTAGGGCGAGAATGGGTGAAATTATTTTTTAGGCATCCACAGTTGACGATAAAAATTGGATAATAAAAATTGTGTTTCAGCTATTGAAGTTATCTTCGTTTTTGTAGTGTATTTACATTCATGTTTGTACAAGAAAATATAGGAACACATGGACCCATTGCAAATCTCAGTGGTTTTATTTACGAAGCATTGCGTGGGTTCAAGAAGCCTACACAGCAGTGTAACTTGAACTTTCAAAAACATTATTTGCAATTTGTGTTAAATATATTTTATTATACTACTCTCGAGTATTTTACAATAAATCTGTAGATTTAAAGAAAAATAATGAACTTTTTTTAGTTTTTCATGGATTAGTAAAGGAAAAACTGCAAAAGTACTGAAAAATTGGGTCCCAGTAGCCCGTGTTCACGGTACTTTATATTTACTACGTAAGCACGTAGTAGACAAGGAAGTAAAAATTGGACCAATTTTTTGAGAACATTTTGAAAATATCCTTGATACGTCGTGTGCAGTACTCCCAACAATTAAAACATTCGTTCCAAATTTGCAGGGCCGCGAGTTCATGAGAATCAGATTTTGATGAAAATCTTGTGTACAGTTCATGTGCTACTGTTGCTCACAGACGCACAGAAAGGTGGACGGTCAGACGGATATTGTGAACAGGCACTTTGAAAAAGACACGTTTTTAAGTATCAGAGAAACCTAAACAATTTGGACACTTTACTCAGTATTACTATACTTTATACTGCATGAAACAGAAATAAATATATTACATTGTTATTAACAGTTAAGAAATAGCATAAAGTATTCAATTCATTGATTTCCATAATTTACATTACATTATATTGCTTTAAGCCAATTTTCATGGGATTTTACAAGAACCTATTTCATTTTACAAGTACCTATTACAAATACCTATTTTAAAAAAATTAGCTGCTATAGACCTCTAAATATCTATGAATACTGAATTGTTCTTCGCATGTCATTTTAATCAATTTTGAACGATATGAAGGGGTGTACTCATAAAAAATACAATATGACATTTCTTGAATCAATCTATTGTAGTCTGAAAACCGCATCAAAGTTAAATATATGTGAATTTTTAATCCTTGCTTTAGCAGTTTTCTCGATATTATTTTTTTCTCGTAGAAAGGAGAAATTAAATGGATATTACGTACATGTTACAGAGGAAATGGCGGGTCTATGTGCACCTTGGGGTCCCAGCACGAATCCCGACACTAGGGACGCATACCGCTCCTCTATAAGGTGAGTTTAATAAGCTAAATTAGATTGAATTGGTAAAATTATTATCATAATAAACATAAAGAGCTTCAGAAAAGCCTTTTGTATTGATTGGGAATACGTGTACAATGTAGTTGAAGTTAAGCGTTTTAATGTCAATGTTCATGAGAGTAATAAAATGATGAGAGAATTATATTTCGTATCACTCAGCAATGTTTCACTGAATCAGAGGAAGAGGCTTCAATTTAAAAAAGTACAAAACGTCGAGGAAAAATGTCCGTAAATCTGCAATAAAGGGACATTTTTAATATGGAGATGTTCCTCTTCAACTTTAAAATCACTATAATCTGTGAATTGAAAAATAATTAGTCTTTACACGAAAATGCGAAAAAAATACAAAACACCAATTCTCGAAAAAAAGGGTAGAGGGTATCGTCTCGTATAGCAAATCGAAAAATGCGAAAATATTTTTAATTCATTAGCAATATGGATTATCTGGTCTAAGTGTCCCGTCAATCATTAATGACATATTTTATTAAATTTGAAAAATCACTCATTTTATTGCTTTTTTGAAAATGCGTTCCTAATGTCATCCTCGGGGATTTTAGCACAAGCGGAGCTCAAAATGGGTTTAAAACGAACATGAATGATATTTTGTAATTTTCTATTAATAAAAATATGTCCATTCTCTTAAACACAATTAAAAACAAATTGCAATTCATCTCATGGGAGAGTATCACAAAAAATAGATTTAATAACACATTAGGATATCAAATATTATCAGTTATTGCCACAATTTTGCACACGTACGGAATTCATAGGAGGATTGTTTTATGTTTGGTGCAAAGATGTACTTCTCATACAATCATTTGAAGCATGCTGGCCATTTCATTAACTTTATTTCTTTTTCCCCTTCCCTTTTATCTCCTGACAAATGATGCAGTTCGCATATAAAAATTGTCCGTATTATCATTGTCGATGAAATAGTCGTAAATGTAGTTTCATTATCTGTGCTCGTTTTCTTGAGTTCCGTAGGGAATGTAGATATTTAAATAATTGTCCCCCACTTTCTTGCTGCAGCAAGTCAAATCCTTCACGTAGAACACTAGGGATAATAGACAAAATCTGTATCTGATTTGTCTTTGCAAATAGATTTTATTACTCGGGAGGGAATATTTTTCAAACCAATTCGTCTCCAAAACGTTTCTTGCTAATGGTATTCATAATTCAAATTACTATGTACTGTATGTGTTAGGGCAGCGGTTCTAAACTTACGAAGTCGTGCACAGATTGCACTTCTCCCTATTATTGGTCACGTAGGTTTCAACTGTTTTTTGACGTTAAATAAATAAATAACACTCGAGAACAGCGGTTCACGCGACGAGCTATTGGCCGCTAAGTATTAGGCCGTCAGGTCGTAGGATCGTCGGACAGACCGGCTGCCCAAACACATTTTCAACTAGTGTAGCTACAACAGTACATACTTTCTCGTATTTGGTTTAACTGTTCCGCTACATTATACTACTACATTTACCTGCAAAAGTGTTTTCATCCACCATTTTTTTTGGATTTGAGACTGGATGTAAGGTCCTCTGAGTTAACGTAGAAGATGCTTTTACCGACCATACATTAGAAAAGTTTTTTACAAGTTGTATAAATGTCGAGTACAAGTTACGCAGAAACTACTATTAGAAAAATTGAACATGACCTTTTTTAAAAAGCAATTATTTTAAACATATTTTGTATAAGGCAAAAATATCTATCTTCAATTTTGTATTCTTGAAATTTTGAAATTTTCGAAAATACGGAGGGTTTGCCAAAACACTATTTTTTAATCTTCCGTAGCGCCAGAGAGAAGTTTTAAAAGGAAGGAGATGGACAGAGAAACGGCACCGTCGGACGGACGGACAGAGAGACAGGCCGGCACAGGCAGTTTAAAACACACACTTTGTCGGCAACGAAGAACCCCGTGAAATGACAACGAAGAAACGTGTAATATTTTCGCCAAACTTTCGGCATTAATATTTTGCAGCATTACGTACCTGTCTCTATAATGTGTCTACGAGAAAAGTTAAAAATGATCAACGTGACTCTCATCCCCCACACCGAAATATGCAGCCATTACACTTTGAACATGGTAAATATAGTTTGATGACCTCGTGAACAAATAAAACACATCTTTATACATAAATTGTTGTCATGTGTTATTTGTAATCCATGTTGCAATAGATAGTAGGCGAAGTAGATGAAGAAGAAGAAGATAGTAGGCAATGGGCAATAATTTAATTGTGATTACATTTACATTTGATATATTGTTTTTTTGCCATGTTTAAAAAAATTAAAACTGTTGACTGAGGTGCGCTTTGTATATTCTCCGTTTCATGTTCATACAAGTTAGAATTAACCATTCTAATATTGTCTTAGAGATAGGATGTGATTACACGTTTATACGATTTATTACATACATTTATATGATATTATTTGTTTGCTTTTCCACTAAATTCACTGTACACCTCCCTTTTTTGTGTTCAACTTGTGTTAATGTTTTCATTTCTCCATTTTGCTAGAGATCCACTGAGGATGGGAAAAGTGTTTTTCCGAAAGTTAACTCTGGAAGATTATTAATAAAAATTATTAAAACTTTTATGGAGATTATTTCCTTTACCTTACTAAATTACATTCATTGACTGGTATGTGGTTACTTGGATATGGTTGACTATGTGTTGTATGCCTATGTGTATGTGGTTGCCATGTTAATTCAAAGAAGACAATCGATAAAGTAATATTTAACAAAACCATTATCTGATATGAAATTCAAAAAAAAGATTTAGGATACAGTGACCACGATGTACAAATTCTTACCATTATAAGGAACTAGCGAAACCCGGCAGATGTCCTGCCGTTCATGTTTCTCTTTATCCTTCCCTCTCCTTTTCTCTCTCCGTCTCTCTCACTGTCCCTGTCTGTCTCCGTCTGTCCGTGACTCTCTCTGTCTCTTTCCCGTCTCTCCCTCCAATCTCTCTATCCGTCTCTCTCCCTGTCTCTCCGCCTCTCTCTCTCTCTCTCTCTCTCTCTCTCTCTCTCTCTCTCTCACTCTCTCTCTCTCCGCCTGTCTCTTTCTCTGACTTTGTTTATTTCTCTCTCTCTCTCTCTCTCTCTCTCTCTCTCTCTCTCTCTCTCTCTCTGCGTCTGTGTCTGCCTCTGCCTTCTTCTGCACCTCTCTCTCCCGAGCGTTATTTCACAATTGCAGGGGCAGACACTCTTAATACATCAGGGTTTTGCGGGTTGCGTAGAGTGCCGTTGCGCAGAGACACTGAGCAGGGACGCTTGGGTCAGCATAAAATCATCATCAACGCACATCTACGTGCGCAGGAATATGAAAATTCCCATCGTACTATGCCAATATTCTTCCCACAAGTGCGAGCAATAATTTGAGAAAGTTTTATCGGAATCGAATGAACGGTATGGCAGCCCATTGAGTACGAATCAACAAACAAACATTGTCTTTTATATATAAGATGCGAACACTGCACAATAAATAATACACTTATGACTAGATTGTTTACTGAAAGGAAAATAAAATTATTCATCGATTACTTGCAGCAGAAGTCGAGTGACGCGGTTTACAATAGTATTGATACAAACGATAAACATAATTATTTTTGTCAACACTTTCATTTCATTTTAACACTTGTTTTCCTCTTCAAAAAGGAAATTAAATATTTCACGGAAAAGCAATTATTGGATAACGCAAGGGATGGATGGACATCATGTAAAAACAAACGAATTCTTACTTTCGTTTCTAAAGATCATAACGTATCTTAAGGTTTTCGCCGTTACTAGAAAAATACAAATCATTGGTAAGTCATAAGGCAGGCTAAAATAATGAAAGATAATTAGAATATTTTGAACTCAAATAATAAAACAAAAACAATGTGTAGTATAGTAAAAAAAAGACCAAATAAACTAGAAACTTTGTAGAGAATTGTTTGAAAAGATAACGATAGAGATGTGAACGATCCGGTAACAGTGAATAGTCTTTTTAACCAATACTGTCGAAAATTGCTGCGGATCTCCCCGTAGCACGTCACACACCGTTTTTAATTGTTTTTGACATAAAATAAAATAAATAAATGTGGCAAAGCAATAACTTGAATTATGATTGAGTCTGACACCTTAAATGAGGTCAAACTTTTCTACATATAAACATCAAATTTTAAAAAATTCCTAAAATATTAATATTTTGGTGAATATCGTTATCCCCTTTTCTCATATCCTCAAAATGAACTGTTACCTAAGTGAAAAGTTGAAACGGTTTAGCTTAAACAAACCTTACAAGATAATTAATTCAAAAACTTAAACATTTCGTTTTCCTCCAAATTAATATATATTAATAAATCATTGTTATTAAAGAGGAATGTGTTTAGATAATTATAACATAACTACTAAGATATCATTTTTATTAAGTAATTCAAATGGGAGAACATTGTCGTTAATCAGATGAAACATAATCAACATTTGAATAAAATAAGTAATCTGAACCCATATTCATCCCCTGCTGAAAGTTCTAATCCAGGCATGGCAAGGTCGCGTGCAAGGTAACACTTCTACTAACGCTTCCGGGCACTACGTCCAGAGAAATTGGCGCGAGATTTAAAAGTAAGGGCTGTACAAATGCTACGGAGTGGGGGTGATGTCACTGGATACCTGGCCCATGAGAGTCTTCGGTCTTTGCGAGAAGTTACTTGACAGTTCATTGTCACACACTTAGTAATATAAATTCCCATTTTCTCTTGAAGGCAAAGAAATTATCCATTTAAATGGAATAATACATCAGTCCAATTTCGAATTCTCAGTTAAGAGTAAAATTTATAGAATTGAATGAAATGTGACTTGATTTTGTTATCCTGTTTACTTACATAAAAACAATAACGGGCTACTTTAACGTTCCGAGGTTTAAAAGTCTTGTCTGTTTAGACCATTCTCCGTCCGGAAACAAGGACAGAATTCGCCATTCAAACATATTCCTGTTACTTAGCAAAGATGTTTACATTAGAGAAAATTTAGTAAGAAAATGAACATGAAATAGTAACAAATAGTGAAAAATATAAACACAATACAATTCTCGGTTATTTGATAGAAAAACGCTGGCAAACATATTTTCGAATGAAGCTACTATTCACCGCCTCGCTCCAGTTTGCGCATGCACACCCCGTTCTGGGTTTGGACGGGAAAGAATGAGTGCGGGGAAGTCAGGGGTCAGGGGAAGTTCCCGTGCCCGGAGGAGCGCCGGGCTCCCCACGCGGGCAAGTAGCACGTACACGCGCGGTTTGACGCGCCTGATCTAAACAGGAATTGAAAGTTACACCATCCCCCAATGAAGGTTCCAATTCAGGAACTGAAACGTTGTGTAACTTTAAGTTTACTTATTTTATTGAACTGCTCGTCAGCTAAATACATACGATTTATGATTATATATTTATGTGTGATTATTGTAAGCTCAACTTATTGGTAACAAAATGGCAAATACTATCATGCAAATTGTATAGTCTTTCCATAGAGTTCATTACGGTTATGTTTGCTTTTATTGGGCTAATGTTAATTGTAAGATTAGGAAGTACTATTTTAGATCTTACGAGTAAATATTAATGATAATGTTCACCAAGTTGTATTATGTCATAACAATGCTTCATTTAATATTAATTTTGATAAAAAAGTTGTCAAAGTTAGCTAATTGCATTAATATGTTAAATCAGAAAATTAATCTGATAACAATACTTTACTTCACTTTTGAGTTTCATGTTTACAAAACGGATTGCAATTCATCTTTCATTCATTATACACTTCGCAAATGAAAATTTAACTTCAAACTCATTAATACATCTCATGTTCTCACAAGCGCGGTACCACTTTTCTTTTCAAAAACGAGCGAACAGTGACACTTGCGATTGGCGAGCCTCCTTCACTGACCAATCAGAGAGCTCTAAATAAGTTTCATTCGCAACTGTAGTGCAAAATGAAAATATGCGTCCGGGAGACGACACGTTCTAGGCACAGTTGCCAACGTTTCGGCAACTGCGTCAAACGGTAGCAACCTCGTTCTGCGACCTTTCTCAAACATTTCGTCCCTCATTTCGCTTTGAGGAAGGTACGAAGGCCGAAGCATTGGCTTCTGTTCATACAGCACTGTGGCCCGGACTGTGGAGAATATATTGACTTGGGTCGCGGAAGCCTACGCTTTCATTCGAATAAACACTTCGTCTCTACATGCGACATTTTCCGTACACCAAGCTTAAGTTTATTTAGTGTATCTCTGTAAGTTGATAAGTTATGCAATTTTAAGCCTGACTTTAACATAATTAATGTTATTTTCAACAGGACGCATTTTGTATCCGCCATGGAAGTGAATGATGTGAACGCTGACTGTCTGCAGGAGAAGCAACTAGTTCAAAGCAGCAAAGAGCCTGTTGGACGCGTCCAAAGACGCTCCCCCAGCTTACCGCCCATTTACACAAGAACCATGCACAATGTTCAAGTGAGTATTGGAGAGGGGTATTTTCTGCTATACAATATTAAAAAGTGGCACTGCTATTACACAATACTATATAACGCGTGTGAACTAGTCTGGCTCTGAAACGTGCATGGGTAAGTGTTTGGTGTCAAGGAATCATCAGCTGATATCCAACACATTTAAACCGAGAAGAGATTGGACGCTAGTACACGCATGTGCTCTGACACATCCTTACATTTCTGCTTTGCTTGCTGCCTTTGCTTTTCCTTCCGAAGTATTTAAAGAGAGGTTAGTATTGGTCTCTGGGAGTTTTCACAGAGGTATCAAGTAATTTCTTTCTTTTTTCACGTTAACATTCTTAATATTGAGATCTGAGAGATTTCTTTGGTTTTGGCTTATGTAGGAGTGTTTTGAATTCCATTGTAATTTTGGTGACGCTTTGGATAAATATCATGAAATATGATAGAATTGTTGGACTAATTGATGGCCTATTTTAAAGTTAACAAGAGTCTTCGATGAGATTGGTCCTTTAGCTTCAATTAAGGTACTTCCAATCCTTTCTAATGTCCTTGACAAGTTCGAGTCCAGGTCAAAACGAGATAATAATGCAGCATTGTCATATGACAAGAAAAGAAAAATCATTTTTTTTCACTCACAGCAGAGCAAATGAAACTTCATTTACACTATTCAATATTTCAACATGGCTCACCAAGCCCGCATTAGTGAGAGACAACTGTCTCAGCGGCGGCGTTTTTGGTTTCTTGATAACCATTCATTCCCTATATTTCTGCTTCCCAAGTTGTCTTCAGTCAAGTTAAGCACACCTTGGGTGTGCTAAACATGGTACACATCTTTTTTATTTTACGAGCACATTAGTCAGTTTTGGCGCTCCACGATAAAAGAAATATTTTATTCGTATAACAGTAAAAATAATAGCGCAACACACGGAAGTTACTTTTCCTCACGATTTACCACGATGCCTCGTGCACGCGGGCGGTGTTTGTAACGCCTTCTGAACACTTCTGCCAGCAAAATATGTCAATTGACTTTAGCCAGTGAGAGGTCAGGTATTAGAGACTTATTTACTTATCAGATAGTGCTCCCAAGGTTTCTACACATTTGGTGTGTGAAGTGTGATTTCATTGAGGAGTGATCGATATACAGAAGCCATCTTAACACTTTAACGCGCCTATTTCGTGAATCGAACCCCACAGCACAAGCAAAATGTAAGTATCGAGGCCCAGTCATATTTATTCCGGAAAGATTAACATGTGTCATTATGGAGTTCAGTTTTACGGCTGTATTGCTTGGTAAGAAAATATTGTTAAGCCTTGAATTACGATTTATGAGGCAATGGGGTGATGATAAGGGCTAAAGTGACAAACACCAAATGACAAATCCGTCTGGGTCTGAATTAATATTGTAATAATAATAATAATAATAATAATAATAATAATAATAATAATAATAATAATAATAATAATTTCTGTTAATCATATTCAAATATTTCTGCAAGGTATTATAAAACTTTTCACTTTTTTCTTTGTCCCCCTTCTTCCGGGGCATACACATCTAGCACTGTTAGATTTCTTTTCAATTTTACTCGCAATATTATAATAAGGTCGTTAACAAAGTTGTCGCTTATATAAGTTGTTCCAAGCTTATATAGCTTATATAAGATGTCCTGATTGGGACATTTTATAGATAATTTGGTTTTGATTTCATGAGTGCGATAGCCTTATTAATGTCAAGAAACCATCTAAGTCTTCTATTAATGTACGTCTTCTGTTAATGATCTTGTCCATAATCTTGAACATATTGCACCCTAGGGAAATTTTTCGTTAATAGCAGCTTTTTGCTTGGTCTTTTCCTGTTTTAGGAATTGGGATACTAATTACAGAAGTCTTTCATATTTCGGGGAATACATTTTTTGTACACATTATTATGTAAATTTGTAGTGGTGTTTCCATTTCAGCTGTAGGTAGGAATTTTATGAGGAGATTCGGGATGTTGCCAGGGTTGATTACGGTACTTTTAGTTGCTGAGATAGTTGCGAGTTCTTTATTTGAAAAGGGATCATTAATGTGACAGTAAGGTATTGATTCTCATATTTCTCTATTAGTTGTTTCCTTTTCCTATATTTCTTATTCTTGGAAAGTTGTAGAATAGTTTAGAGAACTATAGTTGGTGTTTTTTGCAAATACACTAGCTAGGTTGTTAGTCATATCTTAGGAATCTGTATTGACTTGGTTGTTGGCATACATTTAAAAGTGAATTTGGTTAAATTTTCACTTACCTTGTATTGCATTTATCTTGGAACAAAATTGTTTTTAATTGGTATGGATATATAAACTTAAAACATAGTTGTACCAATATTGTGCTTTACTTGCTTTAAGCGTTCTTCTTGATATATCTCTCATCTTCTTATACTCATTTTTGTTGTAATCAGTATTATGTTTTTTGTACCGATTAAAGGAATGCTTAGAATATTTATGGCGTGTTTGCACATATCATCCACCAGCTAACACATTTTGTTTGGTTAGATGACCTCGACATTCCAATTGATTTAAATGCTGCTTTATTAATTATTTATAGAAAATTATTTATTATAGAGTATATATCATTGTGTTCTTGAAGGATATTTACATCTGGTAAGCATTTATTAATTAATTATTGATAGAGCTCCAAGTCATCTTTCGTGAAATTCCAACTTTTGATTGTTTGGTTTGCTCATGGTACTGGGAAAAGGTTAAAGTCAGTGAAAATACGAAAGTGATCATTGTCATGTGGATTATTTACGGTGTTACAGTTACACTTTGGTGCTATATTTGCAGAATTCATAGTGAGGATAAGGGTGCTGAAGATTCCAGAACTCACGTAGAAGTGGTTTGGGAGACCGCTATTTAGTAAGATCAAGCCCATTACTTTTAATACTAATTCCATGCATATACCACTGGAGTATGTCTATTCTGAACTCCATAGAGTGTTATGAGTCTTAACATCTACAATAAGTTTAAATGGGTGAGAAAGATGATTAATAATTACTTGGGTCTTTTATGCATCAAATGACTAACTATTTGGTAGATAGACATAACAAATGCACAGTGTAAATGAAGCTTGGGTTTAAATGGCTTCTACTCATATTTCAGTTGAAATGTTGATTTTTCAAAAGGGTATGTATTCTCCGACAAATGTAGATATTCCACCAATGGCTGTTGAAGGGGTACTGTTTGTGTTGAAACATTTAACCCTTTTATTTTTACGGACCTTCTTTGCTTTCAAGTCGGTTTCTTGTAAGCAAATTACGTCTAGTGTGTGATTTTTACATACTATTTCCAATCTTTCATGTCTTGTATATAACCATTAACATTCCATTGTAAAATTTTAACAATTAGAACGTGTTATTTATTTAGAAAAAAGTTATTTCAGAGTTGCCTTGGGCTTGTTTACTCTTCTTTATTTTATTTATTTTTATAATGGATATATTCATATATAATATATCCATATAAATAAAAAAATTGTTGGAAGGAAAATACTTCAGCAAATTATTTGGTACCAAGTGCGAGTAATTTTAAGCGTTCTATAAACGTTTTTGAGTAATTATGATAAATATGCTTGTGAGGTAATGATAGTCAGTGATTCTTACTGTCGCAACGTGACTGCCATTGCCCCAAACAAAATAATTTATTGATATGAATTAATTTAAATGTCCCTTGATGGTATTTATACATGAACCAAGAAAGGATGAATGGATGGAGAATTCATCAAGTTGCTCAAACACTTAATCTCCAAACCAACTGATTGACCAACTGCCCAGGACCCAGTGCTGCCGATTTTTGACCACTTTGGAAATCACATCACTTTAGACTCACAATTATTGTAAACAAAATAAATACTTGAGGTACTAATGTGCTCATTTTGCTTTATATTTATTTAGTGATTCCCATTACTCACATCGTGACTTCAATTTCTACGTGTGAGGGTAATGGGGGTCAAATGGAAATTTTTTGAAAATTCGATATTTGAGTGGCTTTTAGTGAGGTTTTGGTTAATTGTGAGGTGAAAACACAAACTAATTTGTGATATGAAAGCAAATACTTTTCATAGGAAAAATTTGTACTGATGTATATTGAAAAAACAAAAAATAGCCCTCATTACTCCCGTTTTCCGTATTTGCCATCTAAATAAGACAATATTGAATCTGCGTGATTCCATACTATTTATTCGCGTTAAGTATTTAAAGGTTTTAAACCGTTTAATGAACAGTTCCTAATGATGCATAATTTCATTTATTTTTATTATTTCTAAATCCAGTTTCCATATATTTCGAGAGTTACTCATAAAACAAGAACGTTCAGTTATAATTAGGTTTTAAAGTTCACTTACATATGAAAACAATACATTTCATCATGAAATATCATATGGGCAAAAAATTATTACTACTTACTACCTAAACTTCTAAATTTACTTCGCGAAATTCCCAGCGTGACACAAAGTGCTCTGACATTCCTAATTAGTAGATTTTTCGGTCTTAATCACCAGAGTTGTTAAGATATTAATGTCAAGTGCAGTTAATATGAATGTAATGATATAGTTCCCTCTACCATAAACTATCAATGATAATAGTTTCAGTAGTTTCGATAAATGCCATTTTATTTATTTCAGGAGCATGACGGTAGACCTCCGGTACTTGAACAAGAGGATGGCGAAACAGAGACATCAGGTTATGCAAGTGAAGCTGGAGGAAATGACTATAGACATAGCGACTTCTGGGAACAGCAACAAGCATCTCCGTGGATTAGCGAACATCGGCGGCCACACGATCATCAGCGTGGGAACAGGCATTCCGTAAACAACAGGTATGAAATGCATTGAACACTAAATCCTTCATTATTTTTATGCTAAATTTAGCAAATAAATTAAATGCCCATGAACTCCAATAGTATTCCTAACCATTAAAGTAATCTGCAAATGTCCCCATTTAAATTCATTGATTGGTTGTTTGTTAGTGATTCCGGGCACGTTAATTACCTAGGTAATTAATTCCGTAAGTGTAGTGCATGTCTTTATTCTGGAGGAGGAGGTGGTGGTCTTTCTCCCGCTGTATGGCGAGATCCGGCGCCGACCTATCGTCGGCTAGGTGGGTTCCTCAACCACGTATCACCCTCCAGCGGGGCACCGCCCCAGCCGGGACGAACTCTAAGCCCCCGACCGAACTCTCGTAATGTGTGGTAGTATAGTACATATTAGTGTGTGTGTGTGTATGTGTGTGTTTAAGGGATGAGGATAGGACAAGGAAAAGGAAGTAAAGAGTTTGCAAGGGTACGTCTCCGGCATCCGCCTACTATTAATCGGAGAAACCACAGAAATCTACTGATCATAGCAGCCGGCGGCTAGAATCCTCCACACAACGACTGAATTCGACCTAGCTGACAAGCATGTTTGACATGGCAAACATCAGTTGATGTCCTGAGCCATCTCTCCCTGTTTAAATTCATAGATACTAGGTAGATTTTAGTAGTAGTTTTATGTAATATTTACTGCGATGCGAGCAATAATGTTTCATCTATTTAGTTTTCTTCAGTATGATGCGAGCAATGTTTCCTGTGTTTGCCAGGCAGCTGTAATATTGGTATAATATTTTTTGAACTATTCACTATTGTTGGAAATGACAACATTCATTACTAGCAAAGGTGGCTCAGGGCATGAAGAGATGTCACTGCAGTGCCTCTGACGGACCTAGGGTTCGAGCCCAGTCGGAAGCTTAGAGCTTGACCCGGCTAAAGGCGGTTCCAGGGAACCGGGAACGTGGGAAGAGATGTTCCATTCCACATGGTTGGGGAAAATCCCCGCAAACCGACCTAGGTCGAGGCTTGATCTCGCCAGCTAGGGGGGAAAGATCACCTCCACCTCCAGCGATACAAATATGCTCCACACTTACGGGACTAATGACCTTAGCAGCTGACGCGTCCGGAATCACCAGTCAGTCAAAGCCATTCTTATCTTTTGCTAATAACACAGGCCTGCGATGAAAAAAAACTTTTTTGAAAATTTCAACTGTCCCTTATGTATTTTTGTACGCCGAAATCGAAAATATAACTAGAAATGCTCCGCGTAAACTCTCCAGTAAACTACGGACGTCCAAGAGAGATGTGGAAAAGTATTGGATGATGGGCACTTTTCATGGGTTCATAAAATAAAGGTTTAAAAAAGTGCTATTACACAATGGCAAAGAGTATGCTTCAATGCTTATGGGATTCAGTTCACCTCAAAGAAACTTACGAAAATGTTGCACTAATCCTTACTACAAAATACAGAACGACAAACACGGATGGGTGATATGTGGAGACCTGAATATTTTGTGCATGCTTCTTGGACAACAGTCTGGGTATACAAAGTTTCCATTTTCTTTGTGAACGGGACAGCCGTTCGAGAGTGAACCGCTGGGACTAATCAGAATGGCCCCCAAGACCTACTTCAGAATCAGGAAGTAAGAATATTTTATGGAAATGTCTTATTGATACAAAGAAAATTCTGCTGCCCCCTGTGCATATAAAATTAGAACTCATGAAACGGTTAACTATAACTCTGCCAAGAAATGGGATATGCTTTTAACATCTCTGTGATAACTTCCCACACCTCTCAGAACCCAAGATAAAGGAAAGAATTTTCGTTGGGCCAGACAAGACATGTCTTTGAATTTACCAACACGATCACAGATGCTGAAAAAAAGAGCTTGTATTTCCTTTGAAAGAGTGGTTAAGAATTTCCTAGGAAACACGAAAGACCCGGTTATGCAATCATTCTTAAAATATGTTGAAGAATTTGACAGATTTGGGTTGTTCAATGAGATTCATGATTCACTTCCTGCATGCACATTTAAATGTCTTTCCTGCAAAACATTGTGCGATGAGCGAGGAGCAAGGTAAAAATTTTCACCAAGATATTGAGGAGATGAAAAAGAGACATCAGGGTTGACAAAACGTAAACAAGATGGGCGATTACTGCTGGATGCTCTACCGGGACACGACACGGGGCATACTGAAGAGGAAGAGTAATACTAGCAGCTTCACAAAAAAGAAAAAGATATTACAAGACACTTAAATAATGCTTATAGAAATAAAATAAATAAATAGTTTGTGAAATAAAAATTCTGTGTATTATTTGCTAGAAAATTGTGTTGTTTTTTTTCATATACCCTTAATAAACATGATAATGTAATGTCATCTAAAAAAACTTCATAGTGCATTGTGAAAACATGGTGCGTGATGGGATAAAACTGAACACTGTATGGCACAATGGAGCAACAGAAGTATGCCGCCATCCGTGGGGACCATATGCAGATTGTTTTTCCTTAGCAAGACGGTATCTATCAGCAGGACTACTACGTGTCATACAGCTCGCAATGTACGTGCGTAGTTCGAAGAGCACCAGTATGTCTTCTCTGGCCATCAAACTCCTCCTATTAAACCTACCTAATCGAGAATCCGCGAGACTATCTCGATCGCGCTCTTCGTACCATGGACCCGCAACCGAGGAACCCAGCGCAGCTGGTCACGCAGCTGGAGTCGGCCTGGCTCCACCTTCCTGAACTTAATTGTCTTGCTTCAAAAGAAGGTTATTCAGGATTTTGACGGGTGGTCTTATTAATGTGGCTGGACTGTATTTTGATGTATTCATTCAGATGCGATTCTTTTATCTCACCGCCCTTTGTCACGTAACCTTAAAATCTTTTTAAAAATTATATTTAATTAATTAAAATTTATTTTGAATACTAACAATTTCTATAATTTAAGAGGCCTTATTTTTACTGAATATTCTTCTTAATAGAAATATTATTTTATTGGATCTTTAATTTGATAATGTTCTCAAGAGAGATGTAATGTTTTATTTCAGAGGGTATTCTACACCAGAATCTATTGTCTCTAGTTCAACTCATCGTTGGTCGTATATGGGTACTGACGAATCTAATCGTCTCCGATGGGGAGATAGAGGTGTCGGAGTTGGCCATTTATGGGAACCATCATTTCTCGAGCCCGACTGCAGATTACCTCAGGTAATGTCCATTTCCTCTCTGCCAAACATTTCACCAGGCGCTACACATGTACTCAGAAGCCACCCGGCCCTACACGTCCCCAACACGAATCCCATGCACTCCCCATCAGAACCTCATTCCTCTCACCCTTCCTAATGTCTCTACCCTCCGCCCCGATTTCTATCCCTCTTACATCCTCCCATCAGCGATTATCCCACTTCCGCTCCTTTTTCCTCTCCACTTAATGCTACACTTTCCACCCCTTGTCACTGCAAGGTAACCCTATTTTGTTCAACCATGCACTTGGGGGAAACATACTGTAAATATTGCATAACAGTTACAGAGAAATGGATAAAAAGATATTCGTGTAGGAACTTGCAAAATATTCACGTGTAACCATACTTCAATCGTCATCAAAAAAACTGAGTTTGTAAAGATGGCGTTAGAGAGCGATTTGTTTTTTTAGATTTTCTAGTTTCTTTGTTTTACAGGTCATTAGATTTCTTGTAATAAACTTCTAGTTTTTAATTTTATCATCCAGAGAACTGTTATTGCGCAAGGCATAACTTATTTTAAAATAAGTGTCCCGCATATGACGATAAATATTTTTACGTAATTATATTGATTCTCTTTTCTTAACAGAATCAAATGAACGTTCAACTGAAATGTAAAAGTATAAGTGGTGCATCTTCCTACGCTGAAAAGTATTTTGCATTGCACTGCTCCCACAAAATATAGACAATTCCATGTTCTTCAAACTTTTAGAAGGGTCTATACAAATTCAATAATTTTTCTTTTAAGTCCGTTGTTGAACACAGATTTGAACATATTTTGTGGTCGAATCTGTAAAGAAAAATTCCTCAATTTCATTCATTCCTAGAGACTAGATATTTCAGTAAATGTTTCCTACACGTACTTAATAAAACAAGTTCGTACGTTAGTGTTTTTGAAGAAGAAATGAAATAGTTAACGAACGAAAATAATTATAAACAGTTTTTATTTCCAGCACATCATACAGACAAGTAAGAATAATTTCACAAATAAATGGAACATCCAGAATTAAATGCCATTACGAATGCATTTGAAATAACGAATTCATTACCTTATACAAATTATTTATTTTCTCATCGCTTCAAATAATTAATTTTTTAATATAACGTTAATGTTAATCACTTCATTATTCGTAAAAACGTAGTATCTTACAAATAATTTCTTGGTCTTGCTGCATTACAGTCGTTAAATACAAAAATAATTAAATACTTGAAAACAATTCACACGTAAACAACATAACGAATAATACTAGCTTCAATTCTTTCATAATTTCTAATTTAATCATTAACTAGAAATATTTCGTTCTGACGCAACAGGAAAACTGGAGTTTTAAAGTGCAGTGCAGAGATACCATATTTGGCGAAATTACTACAACTAGGTCGAAGTGTGGCAACCGTGGAATCCAAATATATATACATTTTCAAGTGAGGTTTTTCTGACTTAATTCACCATCTTATTAATTAAACAATTAATAAGTTATTGATCATCTGTATTTACTATCACCTAGGTATACAGTTTGTAGGTGGTGGTACTTGCACCGACAGTTGTAGAATATCTTAAACCGGAGAATATTATAATTTTATGAATGGTGGCCTAAATAACACAGCTCTTTAAGAGTTATTTGCCACCGGTATGAAGGAACGATGAAAGCGATTACACCGTAGGCACACCGTCAACATTATGTTCTCGTACATCAATACATTGACAATACAAATTGTAGAAGTAAGTAAAGTTAAAGTGTAAGAAAGCAAACATAGAATTAATATCGACATTTTCAATAGGAAATTATAATTAAAATAAAATTAATTATTTTTCATATCATTCATTCAGTTTATCCCGTGGCCCGCAGTTGGTGTGCAACCTGTATATATTTCATTAATTTCAACCAGAATTAACGCAAAAACTACTCGTTTTTTCAAAAAATTGTACAGGACGTTTTTGAGCTAATTTGTCTGAGGCAAAAATCTCTAAATTCAATTTTGTATTTTTAAATATTTTTTTAGTTCTCAAAATCCTGAGCAATACCCTAAAATATGACTAGCAACATATTTTTATCGTCTCTTATTACATAAGTAAAGAAAATTTAAAGAAAAAAATGGACCGGTTTTTGAGATTGTTTTGTTGTTGTAAATTTCAATCACAAAATACGCAGAAACTACTCATTTTTTCAAAACCTTGCTCCTAACCTTTTTTAAAGAGCTAATTTTTACAACAAAGTTTGTCTGAAGCCAAGATCTCTAACTCCAATTTTGAAGTTTTAATTTTTTTCCAATTTTCGAAAAGTCGCGTTGTGCACGGACCGATAGACAGACATACGTTTTGCCGTCAACCGATTTTTCGGTATCAAAGACCCACAAATATGGATTGTGGCTACACAATGTGTTAGAGGACTTGTTTCCAATATTTAACAACCGGATTTATCCAATGTCTCCTTACCAGGGCCCGGCAATAAGAGGGGTCAAAAATTCGCTGTTTTCTGGCGCACAATTACAATATTTCCCCTTCTTACGATAGTAAGTGCGAGAAAGTCAAAATTGAGCATGATGTTTTTGAAAGGCCAGTGTTTTACAACCGAATTTGTTTAAAGCAAAAGTCGTTATCTCCAATTTTGTAGTTTTGAAATGTAAACGTTCTTTTGGCGTTTTCGAAAAAAATATATATAATAAGACTTTCGGGAAACCACTTTTCCCATCTTCAGTAGATCTCTAGCAAGGTAGCAAGGAGAAAGAAAATTGAAACATTTATATGAAGGGAGCAAAAAGAAATACAGTAAAATTGTGTGAAAAAAATAACAAATAAAATGAAATAATTCAATAAATAAATAAATAAATAAATAAATA